AATAAACTTTGTTTAGAGATCTTCATTTATCAATCATCAACATTCTTCTCACAATAAGAAAATATTTGTTACGTTCTAAAATTATCGATTGATTCTCTATACTTTGCATATATTTAATACCAATTGAATTGACTTTTTCTATCACTAGCTGTTGAAATATGGGTTTAGCTTTTTTCTTGAATTACCAGGATTGAAGAGAAATAACTATAAATCTAAAAATAATTACATCTTTCAAAACTGCATTCTAAACTTTGTGTTTAGCTGAATAATAAAGATCAGACTTATATAGTTGATTGTGAAAAAGTATCAGAAAATATGTTAAATTCAACATGATATTATTTATACTTTCAAACAAAAATGCCTTTTCCGGTAGCATATGTTATAGGGAACAATTCAACCTTTGATTTGTTGTAAAATAAATGTATTCTCCACTCTTCATAGCAAATCCAATGAGGCATCACTATTGTATGTACCGAGGATATTGCAACTTCGGTAGATCAGTATTATCGAATTACTTGTTTTGTAAATATTAGTGAGAATGAAACAAAACTCAGGGTAACATGATCTTATTAATATCTAACCAAATTTTTCAAAAAAGAAAACAAAAAATTCTTCAGAATAAATGATAAGGTACTTGCTAATGATTAGTTTCGAAGGAAGTACGTTTACAAAGTGTCTGAATATGTTTGCTTCACCAGTTTACTCAAATTCTAGAACAGATTAAAATATTTGCTAAAAAGGTGGATTTGCGGGATGACTCATTTGACTTTAACTTCCGGGTGTTTTATTGAAATGAAGTCAATTTAGTCAACTTTCACATGATAATTTCAAAAAATAATCTGAGTAGGATCTTTTACTATGGGGTTGACATGTGTTCATAATATACTATGAGTAGAGGTTAAATTTCTCATAAATGCATAATCGTAAGATTGATATCACAAAACGTCACACAAATTTTATCCTGTTGGTCATTATCTTCTGATTCTCAACATGACCTTACTACCTATCATTTTCCGGAAGTTGGTTGGTATAAGGATTTAAGGCAATATAGTTCTTGTTTCTAATGTTAAGTTACGTTAAAAAGTTTACTGAGTCGATCACAGCGCTTAGAATTTCCGATATATTTTGTATTTCGTGACAAGCTACTGAATTAGTTTTAAGTAACGTAAATCTTAAGCAATATCGCAGTATCGTAGTGCATATCATATTACAAGTGGTGTTCCGCATTGTTATTCAGGTGAGTTAAGACCAATTAAGATCTGTTATATGAATAAGTTAACAAGCGGAATATTGTCTCTACAAGTAACTAGATTACAAAGATTAGGAAGTTAGTTTATATTCGAAACAGAATCAATATACTCTTGCACTAGACAGAAGTTTTCACCGATTAGTGTTTGTGTTTTTTAAATAGTAAAACAGAGAAATATGATTGTTTTTACCGATGTTTGGTTCATATAATGATGAAAAAAAGTTAAGACGCCAAAACATCTATACGACTGGTCTAAGATATTTATGTATTGATCGCATGGCGGAAGTCACATGAGTAGTGTATTGAGTTTTTGTATAACAAATACAAGCGCGTATCCGTGTGGAACTATTTAATTTTTACCGGACTTTTTGTAGACAAGAGAACAAACGACTGAATCCATGTATGATCTCCTTTCACACTTCATTTAACGCAACGAGGATGTAACATCTGAGGTCATATGCATGATAAAACTGAGTAACAATCGAAAGGGAGTCGCTTCGACCAACAAGACTCAGTGTATTAACTTTAGATGATAATTTTCTGTAGGTTCCATGTAAGAAAAGATGGTTTATTGGGTTGATTCATGTCTCCTATACCTCTTTCAGTAATATTCATAGTCAAGAGACTTCTCTATCGGCTGTGCCAAATAGAACTTTGAACCAAATGAATATAAGTTCAGCTAAATGTCGTTATGTGTAACAGGATCTAACGTAGGATAAAGATGAAGTTGATACGTATATTTTCACCCCCATTGTTTCGAAGAAAGATACCTTTCCCGAATTTATGTTCAAGTTACATATATAAGCGTAATTTCAAAATGGGTTTAATATTACACTAATCTATGCAGAGGAGAAGATTTGCATTAATGTGGTACTAGGATAGCGTGCATAAGAATACATGCACTAATTTCAGTATTATTGTGGTTCAGACGTGCTCTGATAGAAGCCGAAGTCCTCTTTTAGCATCCATGACAGTATTACATAACCGTTCACTGTCTACTTTGGTCACCAGAATCCCAGTCTGTCTATAGTTGATACATCTGCTAGACGGCTTCGGTCAGATGTTATCTACATCAGAATACCAAAACCCTCTTTAAGTGTCTTTGTGCTTTAATAAGTCCACCTGTTTGAGTATTAAAGTTTTGAACCACTATGGTGACATTCAATCATCAGACTATTATAGCGTTTGAGAAAAATATAGCCTGAGCTCATCTTATACTATTCTTGAGTCACGATCAATGAAAGGGTAGCAAAAAACGCAGAACAGGCAACAGTGTGTATTTTGATCTTTCCAAGTCCCTGTCATATCATTCGATCCGAAACTGCACGGGTTATTATCGTCTTAGATTCAATCCAGAAGTATCAATCTTTATTTCATAGTCATTTTAATAAGGTCATGAAAAGTTCATATCAAGTTTCCATACATTCTGATGGTGAAAGAACTGGGTTTATTGCATCAATTAGGTATAGTCAAGTAAATAACCACACTTATGCTCTGCATGCTGGTATTCAAGAACTAGAAAGTATTCTTGATACAGTATTAAAGATTCCTTGCTAGCAAGACCTGCTTTCCCACTCGAAGTTAAAAAAACTGTAACATGATCTGGAGTTTGATTTTTATGGACTAAAAATCAAAATTTAAAACTTGGATTTATTACCAGTTACAAATGCATAAGTTGAGGCTATTACAGAGAGCTTTAAAAATCTTAAATTGAGGTTTTCTCAGCATTTCCCACTTTTCCCTTCCTGATTTCATACCTTCCATTGGATTATATTTTATATTCATAGTTTCCAATCAGCATTAATATTATCACCCAACTCTTTTAGACTTTATCTTGTCTGTTTCCTTTTTGTGTGGTGTTTTGAAGTGCTGTCATCCCCAACTGATGAATATATTCAAAAAATAATGTATTTTTATGACTGACTAGAGTTACAGAATGTTTCTGGTGAACCTTGAGAAACAGTCTTATCATTATTTTTATAAAGCTGGTGGAATAACCTCGTAGTCCGAAGCTGAATTGATCGAGTTCAGTCATATAAAGCATTTTTTAGATTTTCGTTATCAGTTTTATAGAGGTGCCTTCATAATTTCTTTAGACGTTTAGCTGACTCGGAAATTTCATGAAATAAAGTGGTGGATGCTGTTTTTACGACCACCCTTTCCGAACTCATCATTTCGTTTACAGTAAGATGTCATCGCAACAGATGCTGAGCATCACAAAGGGAATACCTTATTAGAGTTTGGTTTCATCCTTGGACTTGACGTTTGCTGCCTTTGGTCATAAAACCTTTCAATCAAACTGTTTGACACCATGAAATATAACAAGAGAAGTATTTTAACAAATTTACCTCGATGACGAGATCAAGATAGACAAACCTGATCTCATCCCAGTTACTTTCATTCGGTTTTAAAAGTATGGAGCGTACATATATCATGGTGAAAATAGTCTATATTTTGCTAGCAAGAGAAACGACATCTTAGGTCATAGATGTGTTGCAGGAAAATGAGTTTCATATGATTTAATTGCAGTTGATCATATGATCTAAGGTAGTCATTATTGACACTATACGTTTTACCTTTTTATATACTAAGATTTCATCGCTAATAATGTATATTCATAAAAATTTGGTTGATTTTATACTAAAAGACATATACTCTACTACTCGACTGTATTACAACTAATCATCTCTCGTACATGTCATGGAACCTGAAAGGACCATAATATATTTCGATATTCAGTTTAGTCAGATTTCGTTTTCGGATGTAAAAATTGGTGATTTGACTCATAGCTGTCTGATCAATCTATCTGATATAATCGTCACGATAATTAATTTGAATCAACCCTTTAAGTTGGAGTTACTTGCTTAAAATAAGCCTTAAGTTTCGGAATATGTCTATTCATTGAAGCTGTTCGGTACTTGGTAAACGTTCATATTTAATTTTGAATATTTTATCATCAAATTCAGTAGCTTTCTTGAGGCATAATTTATGTGGATATAAACTGTAAATTTAGCATGGAATACAATAAATCCCAATACTTATATTAATATTTTATTGTTACGAACTTAAGAAAAGGAGTTTGTGAAAATTACTCAATGTGAAAATAGTTTTTATTATAAAGTGATATTCCTGGATTCCCCTGTTATGCATTACCTAAACTTAGTAACCTAATTTCTTGTTAATTGAAAATTTAGTTAAATAAATACTGGAGAGACTGCTAGTTTATAGACGAACCAATGAGATTAAGTATATTGAGTCTTGAAGTTTGGCGTGCAATTCGATCACCTATATGCATAATATCATTTGTCATTAGAGCTGGTATCACTAGGTGAGGAAAACCCTAACCGTAATTATTAACCCAATTTTATCTAACTGAAACCTTTTCCTATTTCCTCAAACTAATTCTTAGACACCTTCTGACCCTAATAAGTGATCATTTGAGCGTCAATCAAACGTCATCCATAAATTCCAGTCTCACACGAATTCATCATCAATGGTGACTGTTACCTCATTATTTATAATCTGGTCTTTTTCCGATCGTTTCAAGACTATGCAATATGCAAAATATGGTGGTAACTCAACTCAAACTTCATACATTATGGTTCTCGTAATGGAATTCTATCATTACGGAATTTTTACTTAAATAATATTTATCATTTGTTCATTAGCAATCAGAATTAATAGTTTGTTGAAGCGATTTTAAATTTTTTCAATAAATTTCACTTTTATTTCTTTTCAATTTTCTTTTCAGGACCACTCCCATCAGATCCAGATCCAAATTTTCCTTTTCGTAGTCATTTTGAAAAAAGTGTTCTACCAAATCCCAAAAAAGCTATACAACGTATTTTACGTGGAGAAACTAAAGCTGAACGACGTCAAAGAAAAGAACAACAAGAATTAAATCGTCTACTGAAAGGTCCTAGTGATAAAACTGAACAAATAATTAAACTTGAACCGTCACCACATTCTAAAGATTGGCAAGAATTTCAACAGCTTACAGCAAGAATACAAAGTACTGTTGAAGAGTCAACAAGTAAAATAAAAGCTTTATCCTCAGTATACCATACTGATGATAATGCACCAACAGATTTAAAAACTGATTATATAAGACCTGAATTAGAATTAACCGAAAACTGGGCAAATTTCGACCAGATAAAAACTACTGACGAAGAAAATTGGGCAAATTTTGATCAGTCCATTGCAACATCGAATAATTACACGGAATTCAATCCTTTAGATACTGATAAGAATTGGGCTAATTTCCAAATAGAAAATTTAGATTCAGATAACAGTAACCTTGAAAACTGGGCTGATTTTAATCAGACTCCAACTACTACTGATCAGATTACTGATACAAGGGAATCAGAGCAACCAGACAACTGGGCAGTTTTTGATCAGTTACAAACTTCTGCACAGTTCATCAATTCTAAACCAATCGAAAGTATCAGTGAAAATTGGGCAGATTTTAATACATTACAAGCAGCTAATCAATATCCTCCATATACATCAACAGGTGACGAGAACTGGGCAAATTTCGACTTAATCGCAGCCAATAATAGTTTACCATCTAGTAATACAGTAGATATATTCAACAAAAACACTGGTTGTACAGAGCTAAAAAGTAGTGACAATTTGTTTGGTGATTTTGAGAACATAAATACTCTCTCAGAAAATTCATTTGAACAGCATTGTCAGGAAAAAACAAGTGAAGACGAAGCTCATAAAAGAGATCACGGAACTATAGTGGAAAATATCTTCGATCCACATTACATAAAATATATTGAAAACCCACAAGATTTTCATCAGTTAGAAACTGACCAAAAGTTTCTTGATTTTAACAACTCCTACAAATCTCAACATCAACCAAAGCTCTCTCATTTAGATACCTCAGAGATTGTCTCCGAATTAGGAGTGACACAATCAATACCTGAAAACATAACTAACAAATATAATACCCTGGAAGATACCGACGACCTTTTTATCAGGAAGAATTCTATCGATACATTTGAGACTCATTACACAGTAGCTGCAGATAATTTGATAGACTGTAACTATACAGAACATTCTGAACAAATTGTTGAATTTGATCAAGCAAAACAAACTGGCATTGGTGAACGTTTAAACGAATCGAGTCATCCAACAACTGAGATTAAAAGTGATTTTAGTCAAACAGAATCAAGTGATAATTATTTTGTTGTAGATCGTTCAGGAACTACTGAGAATCTATTTGGTTGTGATTATCCTTTGTCTATAGTTGGACTTTATAGTCAAACACTTGTTGATACTGCACAACAAAAAATAACTGGTAAAACCAATTTATTTAGTTCTTCCAAAACTATTGAAAGCAACTCTAGTTGTAACAATCCACAAATTGTCATAAAAACATATTCATCAGAAAGTTATTTCTTTCTGATTGATAACCAAGAAATAATTCAAGAGAAACTCCATACTACCGGTAGCTATTTCAGTAATCCACACATTTCACAGTTAAATTTTAAAAATATGGAGGCAGATAAATTGAATAGATTTAATGAACTAGACGATAATGAAGTAGTTCAGTCCAACCCGATTATGGATATTTCTGAGGAAAATTATCATAACGATTATGATATCGAACATGGAAATTATGAACAAAAAGACGATTTCGATCCGAAAATTACAGCTGATTCAAGTTCATCCACATCTTCATACGAAGATGATGAACAACACGCTGTTAAAGAAGATGAAGACGAGGTAGAAGGAGAAGAAGAAGAGGAAGAAGTAGGACCAAAAGTACATAATGATATTATCGGTGAGTATACTTTAGGATATCATCAGAATTATGACAATACCGATTATACTGACGAAGAGGAAATGATGTTTACAACAAATGCCCCGAATATCAAAGATAATAAAGAAGAGATCAATCCATTTTCTAATGATAATTTCGAAGGTATATCATCAATTACAACAACAACAATAGAAAATAAAAATAGTTCAAATCTAATTGAACGTAAAACAAGCATAGATGATTTAAAAACTATAGCTAGACCACGTGTTAAACCAGTTAGACAAGAAACTTTATCAGGTAATAATCCGTTCCGTAAACGTTCAGATATTGATGAACCTGATATGTTAAACATTGATCCTCATATTACTGATACTGCTGACATTCCAACCGATGAATTAACACGTATAGCATCTGCAATTAAATTAATTAGTCCACAGAATAAAATAAGTCTTCATAGTAAAATAAAAGATAGTTTTGATAGCAATACTAGTGAATCATTTAATGGAGAAGTTGAGGAATCAAAAGTTGAGCTACAAAATTCTGAAATAATACAAACAATTGAAAATGTAAATGTCAATTTAGATGGTTTTGATCCACTGCAAACTATTTATCCGGATAGTGAAGATGAGAATTCATCTCATTCAAATGAATCAAGAACACTACACATTACAATAAATCAAGATCAACAACAAAATACTGCTTTGAAATTGAAACCAACGGTAGAATCAACAGATAATGATAATAAATTACCAATCACTATACAACCTCCACCACAACAGTCAAAATCAATAAATATTCTTGATTTAAGTATTGAATCGATTAGTAATGAAGAAAATAAAATGATATCAAAAGGGAATAATCGTTCTACTGATGAAAAAAATGCTAATATTTCTCCGACTACACCTCCTGGATGGGTAGACTTCTTTGATGATGACGATGATAATAATGGTAATAATAATAATTGTGATAACAATGCTTTATCAAATTTTACCTCATTTAAACTTGATAAAGATGTTGTTGATAAAGCATTTGAAATTCAGTTGGAACAAGAAGACGAAAATAACAGAAGTAAACCAGAATCAGCTTATCCGGAACCCCCAAGACCGGAAACACCAGATCCAGAATTGGATATACCATTTCATCCATTTGTTAATACAGAAGATACTTGGCGTTTATGGTTAAGATATCCAGAGAAGAAAACACGTGTTAAACAAATTAGCAAGTATACAACAGATAGATATTGGCGTGAAGTAGCCGTAAGACTAATTGAAGAACATGGTCGGAAAGTAGTAGCTCTTCATGAAATTATTGAGAATACAGATGAAATTTCACCTGAACCATATAGAACTGTACGTATTGAGCCATATATGCAGTTGTCTAGAGAAAAATTACAACAATATGATAAGTATGGTAAACTACATGTTTTTAAATTAAATCATGTTTCTTATAAAGAATTAGTTGGAATGAGACCGGAGAAATTTTCAATAAAAAATTTACAAAATTTAGTTACCCATAAGCCTAAACAAAATATCACACTAGATCATATACCAATATATACAGAAATATTAAAATTTGGTTCATTAGATCAGGCAAGAATTCGTAGATTGATGCCGGTGTTTGAAGATGCTTTAATGAAAATACCATCACATAAAGATACATCATTAAATTATAGTCGTGAAGAGGTTTGCTGTTATGTTGTTGATGAATATGAAGGTAAATTAAATGTACATGGGACCATTTTAGAGCAGAAAGCACGTACTCGAATATTCTGCACAGCGTTTGTTAATGGTGGTCCACATATAGTACTTGGACTAAATGATAAATGGCGTTTTGGTCGCGAGGTTGTCAGACGTTCTGATATATTACCAGTAATGCACGATGAATGGATAAATATACAAAAACCAGAATTTCATTCATGCGTACAAATGGATGAATACGAAAAAGATCATATGTTACAATTCTATCCATTAGACGGCTGTCGATTTGAATTATTAAGATTTCGTGTTAGCCTACGTGGGAACAGAGAATTACCAATGCAAGTTAAAGTCACATATACGATTGATGGACGCCGAGTCTCGATGAGGTGTGATTTACTGGTACCAGGCTATTTTAGTGCTAGTAAACGATCTGGTGCAGTACCGTGTGAAAAAGTTGAAATACACATTCCTTTTCCAGAAGAATGGATATATCACTTAAGAGTTGAAAAGCATCATAAATATGGTTCTGTACATTCTACATTACGTAAGCCAGGTAAAATTAAAGGTCTAGAAAGGATCACACAAATGGCTCAAAGTTTATTACCACCAAGCATGTTGGAAGCAAGTATCGGTGTTGCAAAATATGAACATTTATATAAGGCTATTGTATGGCGTATACCAAGAGTACCAGAAAAATCGGAAGGTAAATACTTGGCAGTATATAAATTTTTCATTTTCTCTCACAGTGTTAACTGAGTGTGACACGGTTTTTAGGTCAATACTAACTTCCAAAGCTAAGTAATGTTTAATGAAATAAATACCATGGTGATTTCATATTTACTCTTGGGATCAGTTGAATGTATTTACTAAATTTAAAAAGTCACTCAATAATTGTGATTATCTAGATGATTTTCACTCATTTTTTCTCTTAAAATTATCTTGAAATTAAAGTGAACTGATCCCAGAAACCCTTTCCAGTTCTGATTATCATTTAAGAAAACGAGTATTTAACACTTAACAGTTGTTTGGGAACTTCAAACAAAGCAACCTAAGAGTAAAGTACAAGTTCTTAGGGTTTCCTTCCAAGATAAATAAATGGTATGAAATAAGAAATTATTCTCATTTGATATATTTAAGTGCTGATTAATAACCCGGATTACCTACTGTAGTGTTGTTCCTATTCAGTTATTTGGAGGATGAATTTTCTATCTTATTGTACTTTTAATAGTATAGCTATCATATTGACAACTCATAACTCGAAGTTAATAAACTTATGATGATCATTGAGTTAGATAAATCTCGTCTTTTGCTTTAATGTGTATCAAATCAGTTGTTAAGTTAAAATAAACGCGTTGATTGTATAACCTATGCATGCAATATCGCATATAAACACTCTTAGAAACGTGATAAAACACTTTATTATTGTGGAGATGACTTATGCTACAACTCCTTATTGATTTTTGGTTTTAGCATCATTTCGTCCACATCTATTAACCTGCAATTTAGTATTAGCTCCACACGATACAGTACCTGAATGGGAAACTTTAATTCCATACTGCCAGATTGAATATACTATGCCGTCAAGTACAGTATCTGGCGCGACTGTACGTTCAATTAGCGTAGAGCACACAGGTAATGTGGAGAAATTTGTAAAATATCTTACCAAATATAAGTATACAATGGATATCGACTATCAGTTAGGTAGTCGTAAAGAGCCAGTTTTGAAATCCCTTCTAGATGAAAATACATCTAGTTTATATGAAACATCAGATGAACAAACACCATCAAATCGAACATATGAAAAAAATACTTCAAATAATAACATCACTGATAATAACAATAATCACTCAATGAAATCAGAAGAACATGATCGTGTCAACAACATAACGACAGTTATTTCTGATGAAGCAGAAACAAACCAGACAGCACCTACAGAATTTGGTGATCTTTTAGGTTTGGGTTCAGAGTTTGATATAATGTCTGATGTTCGATCAGAACAATCTAAGTCTAGTAATACTGATAACATTTTTTAAAAAGATAATTGTAATTCTATATAACTGATCTTTTTAAACTATAACACTGGAGATCTTTCGTTCATTTAATTTTAAAAATCGATTTTCCAGCTGCACAAAAATGCTTTTTCTTTTCTCTTCACCAAAATATAACATAGTCAATTCACTAAATACTTATTGTCATTCAACATGTAAAAGATACAACCGTGAATCTTGTACGCTTATTCTTCAAAATTTTACACTACTTATAACTTAATTAGTAACTTCATGAGATGGCATGCTTATAAATTTATTGTACTGTTAAATAAAAATATTATGTACTTAAATTACGATATGGAAATTCGATATCCATCTTTATTTTAACCAATCTTTCTATTAAGTACTTTTATTAATGATGTTTTGTCAACTTATGTTGAAAACCACTTCTTGACAAACTTTCTACATGGAATATAATCATCATGTTATAATCAATATAATATATAATTTATTATTAATACACACGTAATTATTCAACTAAGAAATACGCACAAAAAATTTCAAAACCATTCTATTAATATTATTAATATGTTAATATAATGTAATGCGTCCCAGGCAAAGCCCTTCTGTGATAGCCTGTACGATTTTGATTATAACCAACTGAGTATAAATAGTTTTCTGTGTATCCCCGCCCATTTTATTTGTTTGCACAAAATACCCCACTATTATTATCACTATTATTATTATTATTGCAAGTTGGAAGTTCAATTCTTAGACATTCATAGAGCATATTTTTTTTTCAATCCGTCGTACCAACATGTTAAAATACATCCAATAAACAGAAATAAAATTATATAATTACGTATAAATCATATATCGTCTCATTTATTCTTGAATCATTCACGTTATCTTACAAAGACAACCTTAAAAAAAAAACACATCAATTGTAATTGGATATTTAATCTGAAATTTCTTTTTGTTTATTTATACCATTTTTTTTCTTCTTCTTCTTTAAATTTATCACTTATCTTCGTAGTTTTATCACCGTTGAGTTTTCGTCAATTTTATTTCATTGAAATTAAATATTATATTATTTAGCATTTATACAAAAGATATTATTCACTTACATAATGTCTACTTAATTTATTTGTACAATTTCTACCGGTTATCCATTATTTGTGAATTCAGATCAATATACATTCTTAAAACAATAACCATTTATTTATTAACAATGAATAATTGAACTAATAAAGTTTTAATGTTAATATTCTATGTGCCTATTATTAACATGATTATCTGAATGTTTCATCGATATTAATGACTGAATTTCATGAATAATTGAATTAATGAATAATCCTGTTTAACTTTTCTTTATTACATTAATTGAAGAATTTAGTGTAAACAAATTTGATTATGAAAATCAAATTAATGGTTTGCATTACATTCTGTTTTTTATTAATTCTAACATTAATCATAAACTAAACATGATTGTGAATTTTACTATGATCATCTTGAAAAGTTAAATGTAGTTATAAATATCATAAAATGTAATCTATCTTGAGGCATTGACAGATTTTATAGGTTCGGAAAAGTTTACATTAATCACCTTGAATATATTCGAATGATTTGTTGGAAACTGAGAATAACAGTCAAATTGTTGTGATAGATCAATAGCAAGTATTTGCACTATGATTGTATACAGTTTTTAGTTTTGGTGTAGTTTTGTTCTCTGAGCTGGATGGTTTGATCGTGGAGTTTTCATCGTTCTTCTGAACGACGTCATCAGCGAAAATTTTAGATAGACTGAAGTTTATGTTCCACGACCAAACCATCCAGCTCAGAGAACAAAACACCAAAACCAACCACCTGAGCTATAAATCTTCTCTATCATCTATCAATTCATAATCTAGCCTCATAGGTTAATCGGCATAATTATTTTAAATGGAATTTCAGCCAAACTCGCAATCGTTTCGACAATAACCACCAAATCCTTTACTTTTACCCCATGAGATATGAAATTGGAAATTTTTTTAATTTTGAGCGTTAAAACTGAGAATACTGTCATACAAATCTTTCCTGAATACAGTTTAAATAATGCAAGAACAACAGATCAATATGAATACATTTATTTCGACAACTTAGTTTAACTGTTTACAGCGTGAAATAACCAAGTTATTACTTAAATCTGTTCATCCAAAGTTTCAGAATCATCTGAAAATATTACTGGTGTTAAGTTTTTTAAAGCATTTGAACAGATAACTAAGTCATGTACGTAATTCCGGAATTGAAATAAAGGAATTCGTCGATAAAGCTGTACTGTCATCACAAAATGGTTACTGTTGTGGATGCAGAGGAATAGACCAATAATTATCATGTTAAGTCCAATAGTGTCCTTGGACTTTAAATGGGTATTTTCTATTTGTCGATATCTGTTCACTTGTTGTATATTGTACAAAATGTTGTTTTCTATTTTATGGTACGATGTGGTGTGCTTGATTGGTATATAAACAAAGTATGTTTGAAATATAATGATTCATATCTCCGAGGCTGTGACTTGTGTTCTGGACTCAACTGACTGGGCTAGACAGGGAAGCGGGACCAATAGAGACTCTAGGCCGTCCGTACGTGTTTACATGTCATTGAATCGATCGATAAGTACGCTGCTCTCTAATTTTCCAGTCAACGACACAACAATTAGCACAGGGTAAAAGACGATAGCAACTTAAATTCATAACAGTTACAAACCCCAATTCTCAAGGTGTTTACAGAGTTCAATATGTTGCCGAATATAGAAAAGCAAAATGTTTCTAGAACGTATTACAAACACGATAATTTGTATAATAGCTAGTATCTGTATCTAAAAACATAATGGCTGTCATCAACCGAAAAGCAGATTAAAGATAAAAATATGGGAGCTTTCATATTTACACAGAGATTCAATGAATGCACAAAATTTTGAAATAGCTGTTACAGATATTAAGAAGTTGAAATGATAGTAATTAATAAATTGAATATTACACGACGATGGAGCATGGAATGCCCTACTCAAAATGATTGAAATGAAATTAACTACTGAATATTGTTAAGTAGTATGATTTACTCACAAAAGTTTAGCGGAAATGAAAAAGATATGAGCAGAATTAACAAGTGGACTTTTCTTCGGTCCACATGTATAACTTCGTTTGCATTATTAGTGACGTTCAGAAAAGTAAGACAATCATACCTACAAATAATTCTGGTTATTCGAAAAAGAATTAGAATATCATTAGGACGACCTGTAATATCACAGACAGACAGACTGATACGGATCAGTCGGTAGTCTAAATTAAATTTTTTAAATGATCAATAGACAGATGGAATTGCATTTAAATGATATTAGTGGAGTGGAGATTTTCTGTCTCAGCCCTAATTAACATGTAAGAAATGGTTTATGTATAATCTAGCACTATTATGATGAACTTATGACCATGTTCACTTTTCCGTTTTGTTCGTCATGTTTCCTCCAAATACACTTTATCATCCTCATCAACTTTTAAGTAGGTTGGTTGATATAGCTCTTATTCATCCCAAGTTTGATTGAAAATCTATTTCATTTGCAGTAACATTGTTATTTTAATTGGTGTATCAGCCAATCAACTAGCCACCTTGATTTTACTCCTTAAATGAAAACACTCATTTGGGCATAAAATGGAGTAAATTGTTGAAGAAAAATATCTATTTCAGACTGTTAGATCCAATAAACTGTACTGCTATAAACATATACTGTTTTCTTATTATCTTAATCAATTCTATTTATTTCAAAATAGCTTAGGTCACAGATTGAAATCATCTAGAGAAATATTGAAAATCAAAAGGAACCGGAAACAATAGCTTGAAACTCTTCATCAATGTACACTTAAAGCCTCCAAACATAGTTGAATTTTAAGTCTTTTAGTCTCCTATTAAATCTTAATGGATTTAATGTAGTGATTTGTGATCCGATGCTTCACCTAGTTAATCTCAGTATATTTATCTTATAGAGGCTAAAATCATCTAAGAGCGTGGAATAACCTATTCACGGTTGTAAATGACTTCGTAAGCACTTTTCTGTGGCTACCAGTGGGCTTTATTAGTTCATACGATTTTACGTTTTTATAAATTTGAACAAAACAAGAACTATAGACGTAGTTAAACTATTGAAATTCTTTTATTTTGCTATTTCTCTACAGCTGTTAACAACCTAGAAACAATTACTTGAAACCAATCTACATACTTTTATCCTATTATCAAAAATGTCTATACGATGAGATAAATAAACAGACAATAAATATGGAAGAATTATACAAAATGTTTACATTTATATAATAACTAGTGTGAAATGTCTGAAAGAAACATTTTGAAACTCATCCAAGAAATTTCCTGTTAACAGAAAATAGATGTCAGAAGTTATGCAAAATAGATAGACGAATTCTTTTAAGTACAGCTTGGATAAAACTCAGGAATAAAGAAAAGAACATATGATTGAAAGAATAAAATACAATGTCACACAACTAAATATATAAAAATAGAAGTCACCAGGGTATAGAAAGACTGACAATGATATCTTTCTATATTATCATATAAAATATTCATATTGCCTTTACAATTATTAGTACTAATGCTTCTAGGCTGTAAGTATCGAAATAGAATTTGTAAAATAAAATGAATTTAATTTAGTCTACCACAACTGTTGTTCTTGATTCATCGATTTTTTTAGTTTGCTTATCCTATTGGCAACAGTTTGCGTATACTGAAATAATGAAGATTTGTAGCTCAGGTGGATTATCTGGGTGGAGTTTTGTTCTATGAGCTGGGTGGTTTGGTCGTGGAACTTTCACATAAGGTAGAAGTGAAGTGTTCGAATTTCTTCACATATAGCTCACAGCTTATCCTGTAAACATCAACCTTCATTGGTTATTGTTGACCTTTAACCTATCATTGTTTTCTTCATTATTTTAATTGTATTTCCTATTGATTTGATTCTTGGTCCTATATTTGTCCATAATTTTTCTGATTGGTTGGTAAGT